TCCTGTCCTCTCCTCCTACTTTCTCCAGATTTTATAAATATTTTTAAATTATATATTTATTAGTAGTAGTAGTATTCAATTTGAACAGAGAGAGAAAAAGAGAGGAGAGTGGGAAAGCAAGTCACTAGGTCTAGGACTCGAACCACGGTCAGCCATTGTGAGAGTCTAGCAACTTAACCACCATGCCACCTGCCAGGCACTAGATTTTATATTATTAATAACACTTTCTTTCTGTGGCAGACTCAACTTCTTGCTCTCAACTGAATCATTTCCTTTGTCCTTTATTCATATAGAAATCTATCCCTTTAAGAAAATGAAACAATAACTTCACTCTACCCCTCATACTTCTACCACCAGATTCTGTTTTTTCTCTCCACTCATACTTGCAAACTCCTACAAGTACTCTTCACGTTGTCAGTTTGGGCTCTACCTTGCCTCTTCCCCTATTGCACTTGAATCTGTTTTTGGTCTCTAACCTCTCACTGAGGTCACTTATGACCTCTATGCTACTAAATCCAGCAGACATTTTTCAGGAATCAGATGTACCCACTGCTCAGCAGCATTGGCACATAGAGTGTTACCATCCTTATGGTTTTTGTCCACTTTGCCCATCCCATCTCAGTAATGTCTGCTGGCTCATCACTTACACATGGCTAGCAAATGTGAGCATTACAGAAGCTTGATCTTAATCCTTCTTTATGTCTCACTCTCTACTCTCCCTGGGTGAGTTAGAACCCAAGGTTTCAACAGACATCTATATACCATTGGCTCCTAATTTTCTATCTCTAATATCTCTTCCCCCTGACTACCATCATCTTTTCTTTGATGACTTCAAGACTTCTCAAAATCAGCATGCTCGAAATGGAAGTCTTTATTTTCTCTCCTAAATATGACACTCTTCCAGTGTTTCATATCTCAGTGAAAGGTGCACTCATCAATCAAGTTATGCAACCCTCAAACCCAGGAATTATCCTTGATACCTCTCCTTCCCTATATCCAGTTTAGTACCAAACCTATTGATTTTATTTTCTAAATACTTCTTGAATCTATCCACTTCTTTCTACTTCCTTGTTCTTTGCTCTGGCTCCTAGATGCAGCTACAATCATCTCTTCCCTAGACTATGAGAATAGCTCTCTCTCTGGTCTGTTTACATCCACTTAGTCCTTCAATTCCTTCTGCACACTATGGACAGACTGACGTTCTCTTCTGTAAAAGTTCACTTTATACATGATAGAAAACACATGCATGAGAGAAAGAGAGAGAAACACCTTCAACAGGGTTTTGTCACACTGTAGTCCCCTCCCCCCAGCCTTTCAGCTCTTTAGGATCTTGGGAACCAATGCATCTGAGCCAGGGATCCTAACAGTAGTTGATCATATGGCTTCCCTGCATTGCAATTCAGTTTGCTACTGACTGGGCCATGAGGAGTGATGTGTTCAAATGCTCATCTGATTATGTCACCTCCATCTTCCTCACCTTCCCCATACTCTTCAACATGTATTTCCATAAAACCCTTTAATAGCTTATTAGCTTATTATTCTTAGGAAAACGATAACATTTCCTCAATACGGCTGCAAAGCCTGTGTTGCTCTGGCCCCTGCCTACCTTTCCAGTTCATCTTGCACCATGTTCCCTCCCACCATCTCCACTCCATTCTTCTGCTTCCTTCCTCCTGTCACTCATATTTTCCAGGCCTCTCCCACCTCAGGGCTTTTGCACATGCTGTTTCTTCCACTTGAAACACTCCTCCCTCCCTCCCTCCCCTCTTCACTTGATTAACTTTCTCTTTCAACCTATCAGATCTGTTTAAACATTATTCCACAAGGAAGGGGTACCCTGTCTTCCCTGATTAAGTCAGGGATTTTTTTGGGTCTTGCTTTGTTTCTTTAATCACGGGCTCTTTTAGTATCAGGCATTGAATCATCACCATTGCAGTTGTACATTCTTTTTTTGTTTGTTTGTTTGAGTACTTGAATAATTTCTCTGTCTCCCCCACTCCTCACATGTTTATTGAAGAAATATTTATGGAGTCCCCACTATATACTTGGCATTATTTTAGAAGGGGTAACAAACTGCAAACAAATAAATATGCAGTATGATATCAAAAAGCAAAAGGGGGAACCAGCAGTTAGCGTAATGGCTATGTCGCTGGACTCCCACGTAGTCGACCGCGGTTTGTGTCCCGGACCCGGTGGCTTAAAACTCACGCCGAGCGCATGTGCGTGCGTGCCCAAGATCCCGAGAGGAGAATGGAGGAGAAGGGATGGCGGTGTGGCCATCCCCCGTGGGGGGTGATTTCTCGCTTTCTGTCTCTATGTCTCTCTCTCTGTCTGTCTGGCGAGCACACGCGCCCTATAGCGAAAACCTCTCCAAAAAAATAAATAAATAAAAGCAAAAGGTACTCTAAAGAAACACAAAGTGGAAAAATAGGAGAATGTGAAAGGCTGCTACTTTGGATAAGATGGTTAGAAAAGGAAGATGTGACTGAGCGGAGATTTGAATGAAGTGACGGAGCAAGTCAGGAAGATGCCTGGGGGATGAGCATTCTGGAAAGAGAAAATAGTGAGGGTAAAGATTAGAGGATGTTTAACCTGTTCTAGGAGCAGCCAGGAAGTCAAGGCAGGAAGTGGAGTGAAGGGGACAGTGGTAAGAGATAAGGATAGAGATGAAGGTGGGGCTAGGTCATGGAGGGCCAATAGCCCATGCAGCAGGAAGGGAAGCCACTAACAGCTTTTAAACCAGCAACAATTGGGTTCTTTGTATGTTTTAAAATGATCACTGTAGCAGTCTTGGGATTAGAAAGGGGTAAGGGTGGAAGTAAGGAGGCTAGCTAGGATTCTAGTGTTGGTCCTAAGGAGACATGATGAGGCCTGAGGCCAGGGTGAGCAATGGGGAAGTGGTGAGAAAAGCCAGACTGGGAAGCCTTTAGAAGATTGAGCTTACATAATTTGTTGAGATGTTCCTTCAAACTGTCCGAAGTGTCTTCTCACTTAAAGAGAAAGTCAGGGTACTAGCAGATGGTGTAGTGGTTATGTCATTGAACTGCCACGTGGTTGACTACAGCTTGAGTCTTGGAACCAGTGGTTTGAAACTCACAACAGGCATGTGTGCATGAGTGCTCAAGATCCCAGGAAGAGAATGTAGGAGAAGGGATCGCAGCATGACTATCCCCCCTGAGGGTGATTTCTCACTTTCTGTCCCTCTATCTCTCTATCTCTTTCTCTCTGGTGACCATACATGCCCTAAGGCAAAAACCTCTAAAGACAAAAAGAAAGGAAGAAAAAGAAGAAAGAAAAAGAAAGAAAAAGAGTCAAAAGCCTTTGCATGGCCAGTGAGGTCCTCTGTCTCTGGCCATCCCCCTCTCCCCTCACTTCTTCCTCTTCAGCCACACTGGCTTCCTCCCTGGCTATTCTGTGAACAGACTAATCTCACTTTTTGCATTTGATGTTCCCTTAGATATCAAGAAAGCATCACTTTCTCCTTCAGAGTTTTGCTCCAATGTGATCTTACTGGGAAATCTTTTCTTTATAACCCTCTTTAAATTTGCACCTTAACCTGGAACTCTCTGTTCCCCTTCTCTGGTCAGTTTCTCTTTATAATACTTTTCACCATCTGAAATTATACAAAAATGTATGTATGTCTACATTGTATGTACACACAAACATTTAGCATCTGTGTGTATTTATTCCATGATGGCAGAGGCTTGGTCTATTTAGTTGACTATAGAACATAACTCCTAGAACAGTACTTGGCCCATAATAAGTGTTAAACAACTATTTGTTGAATTAATGTTAAAGTAGAGAAAAGAGAGGAGCAAAGAATGGCTCCAGGATTTGGGACCTGAATGATGATGCCACTTACTGAGGCAATATAGAGGGGTCTTTAAAATGAGGATTGGCATGGTGTTTAAGGGCGTGGACTCCCACATGGCTGATCATGGTTCAAGTCCCGGACCTGGCAACTTGCTTTCTCACTTTCCCTTTCTCTCTCTCTCTCCTCTCTCCTTCTCTGGTCAAAATTAAAATAAATAAATAAATAAATATTAAATGAAATCATTCTTTTTTTTTTTTTAAATGGGGATGGGGAGACCAGTAGATGGCGTAATGGTTACCTCACTGGACTCTCACGTAGTAGTCAACTGCAATTTGAGTCCAGACCCAGGGGCTTAAACTCACACTGGCTACAAAATCCTGAGACAAGAATGGAGAAGGGATTGTGTCATGGCCATCACCCCTGGTTGATGAGTTCTTGCTTTCTGTCTTCCTGTCTCTCCAGCAAGCACATATGCCTTAAAGAGGATTGGGGCCCCCCTTCTCTAACCTTCCTGCTGGAGTCCCTGAACTGTTTTGTCTATCACAGGTTCAAAGGAGCCTTAACTCCCTCTTCGGTCCACAAAAGCCTGTTACAAGGCCACAATCCTAGGGGTCTGGGTTCTCCTTTTCTTCCCACAGGAAGAAAGGGAAAAACTAGAGACAACCCAAACAGACTCTCAATAACTGAGACCAAATGGACAGCAGTTTGCTCTGGGCCCTATAATTGATGGTTTAGACATTATTGACTCTGTGTATAGTTTCAGGTGAAGAACTGGCCTAGTAGTTCAAGAGAAAACATCGCAATACCTTTTTTTAATGCAAAAAGAAAGAAAGAGAAAGAAAGAAAGAAAGAAAGAAAGAAAGAAAGAAAGAAAGAAAGAAGATAAAGAAAGAAAGAAGAGAAAGAAAGAAAGAAGAGAAAGAAAGAAAGAGAAAGAAAGAAGAAAGAAGAAAGAAGAAAGAAAGAAAGAAAGAAAGAAAGAAAGAAAGAAAGAAAGAAAGAAAGAAAGAAAAAGAAAAAGAGTGAGCTACTGTTTTCCTCATTCCTGCAGGTGCCCAACCAGGTTGACTTGTTGGAGTGCATTTTCTGCATTCTTAATAGATAGCTAGCAGGAAACGCCTTGTACTACCCAGCAAGGAGGCAGAAAGTAGCAAGGGGAGGGTCCAAATCTCAGCTCCTGTTTCCACAAATGCTGAATTGCTCTCACGTGGGCTGTTGAAGCACACCTTTCCCTGGCCATAGAATCTTACTCTGTCTCAGGTGATGGTCTGAAATTAAGGTAAGAGAACCAGGAAATTTTGAGGGGGAGAAGAGGGATGGAAATTCAACTGAGAAGAAATGGGGGGCATCACATGCTTTGCTCAGTGAGATACAGTTTGTTCTCTTTGGGGTTTTTGTTCCAAGTGATCACTGTGACAGGCAACCTCTCTGGCTCCCTACCCCACCTGGGGGTGCTAAGTACCATTGTGCAGGAGTGCAGTAAGCACATCCATGCAAGCAGACTATGATAGAATCTAGGTTGGGTTGCTGCTTTTGGATTCTGTGTTCAAAGATTGTTTTTGCAGAAGTTTGAGAAATATTCTGAGGTCCACATGGAGGACTTAGTGTCTATATTTTGTAAACTAGGGAAGCTTGCAAACTGCATGAATTTGTTGTTGTTGTTTTTGCTATAGGGCACATGTGCTCGCCAGAGAGAGACAGAGAGAGGGAAAGTGAGGAATCACTTCCTCGGGTAGGGGGATGGCCACACTTCAATCTATTCTCTTCCATTTTATTCTCAGGATTCTGAGCACACATGCACATGTGCCTAGCATGATATTAAAGTCACTGGGTCCAGAACTTGAACTGTGATCGGCCATGTGTTAGTCCAACGCCTTAACCACCATACCACCTGCTGGCCACTAACTTTTGTAATTATGCCAGTCTGACCGCACACCTGGCAAAGTTTGGCCTTGGAGTTTTGCCTACAAGAGGCTTTTGCTACAAGCCAAGCACTTGTAGCAAGCATACAAACACCTTCTCCAGGAGACTCCCATTTCTTCAGCCTCACAGAAGGTCCCACAGATTCCAACTTAGCAGCATCTCTTTCTCCTAGAACAGAGCTTCCCCTCACTCCAGTTCACTCATGAATGAAGAGACCCCCTTCCAGAGGGCTCATTTGAGGATGAAGGTGCCCAAGTTTTTCCAGAGATAATAGTGAAACGTACTTCTGAGATTGACACCAGTGACGTTTCTCACAATTGTAATACATCTTGAACACAGTGCCTCTCCAATGCAGCTCAAGTGTGGCCCAGGGCATGTGAGCTGGATCTAAAAAAGTAACCCATGACTATCTTTTTTAAAAAACTGACACATAATAATTGTACATATTGATGGGGTACAGCGTGATTTTTCAGTATATGAATATAATGTGTGAAGATTGAGTCAGGGTAAGTGGTATTTTGTCAAGTGAAATGTACTAGGCACAGAAAGAGAAAAGTCACATATTGTCATTCACATGTGGAAACTAAAAAACTTGACCTAGTAGAAATAGAAAGTAGAATAGTGGTTACGAGAGGCTTTCCTTTTCAGTGTTATATATGTATTTGGACAGGAAAAGGGGAGCAGTGGTAGTATTTGTGGATTATTGAGGATCCACAGTTATTCACAGAACCGTCCAAGGTGAAGGGGTCGAAATAGTCTTCCCAACTTTCTCTCTCTAACCTTTCCTGGTTGTGGCCAGTTAACCTGTAGTTTCTGTAAATCTATCCAAGGAGAATAGGAACATGCTTCAAGGCTCTGATATCTCAAGGATCCCTTGTGGCTTCAGGGGGAATTAGCAAAGACAGACTGCAAACTATGTCAATCCTGAGCCTAGAACAGCAGCCTCTGGCAATTCTGAGAGGAAGAAGGTGAATCCTCTAAAACCACAGGAGGCAGAGGTTTCCAGGAGAAGCCCTGAGGGAGCAGAGGAAGTGCCTATTTTCCATGAAAGACATCAGATGGTTACAGGTCCTGGATCAAGGCTCCTGTGGGATTAGGAGTCAAGCTCTCCCACATATTTGTTAGGTGGGGAGAATGAGGCCCATAGAGGGAAATAAACTATTAGATCCACCAGTTAGGCAGTAAGGGATGGTGAGAAGAGGAGAGATGTAGAAGCCAGAGAGACCTGGGCTCAAATCTCAGCTCTGTCACTGCTTAACTGTGCAACCTAGGTAGTTTATTTCACCTTATCTAAATCCCATTTACTCATCTGTAAAATGGGGATAATAATACCTACTCTAAAGGTTGTAAAGATTGGAGAAGATATATGTAAAGCTACTTGCACAGAGTAGGTATTCTGTAAGTTGTAGCTTTCAAAAAGTGATGCCTCCATACTTATTGTTTCACAGTAGCTCCCTCTTAGCTGCCGTTTCACTTTCCAGGGTTTCAGTTATCTGTGGTTAACCATGGTAAATAGGTGAGTACAGTATAGTAGGATATTTTGAGAAAGAGAGAGAGACCATATTCATATAACTTTTATTGCAGTATATTGTTATTGTGGTTCTATTTTCATTATGTTACTATTGTTAAATTTCTCACTGGCTAATTTATAAATTAATCTTTATCATATGTATGCATATATATATATGGAAAAAACAGTATATATAGGATTCAGTACTATCTGCAGTTTCAGGCATCTACTGGAGGTCTCTGACAAGTTTCCTGGGGATAAAGGGGAAATACCATAATATTCATAATAGCTTTGATTTATTTCAACCACTCTAAGAGTCTGAATTTATCGTGTGCTTTTTTTTCTAAAATTTTATTTATTAATCCATTTATTTTTTCATTCGACCAGAGAGAGACACAGAGAGAGAGAGAGGAAGTGAGAAAGCAAGCCACCAAGTCCGGGACTCAAACTGTGGCCGGCCATGTGGGAGTGTCCAGCACCTTAACCACCACATCATCTGCTGGTCCCAATCATGTGCTTTTTTAAAATTGAGTAATAATTTGCCTACAGTGAAATGCTCAGATCTTAAGTGTACAATTTGATAAGTTTGTCAGAAGTATACATTCACATAATAATCTTCACACTCACTAAGATGTAGGTCATTCCCAACATGCCTTCCTCATGTCCCTTCCTAGTCAGTCTCTACCCCACAAGAAATCACGCTTCTGGCATCTATCACCATAGATTATTTGAGCTTGTTCCATATAAGTAGAATCATATAATGTATGGCTTTTTGTGTCTGGCTTCTTTCACTCAGCATAATGGTTTGTTTGTTTTTATTGTCAGAGGGTACATGTACTCTCCAGAGAGAGAAAAGAAGAGAGAGAAAGCACCCTTCAATGGATCATGGTCACACCACAATCCCTTTTTCTTTATTCCACCATTCTGTCAGGATTTGTGGTATACATGCATATACACCTGGTGTGTTTTTCAAGATGACTCAAACTGTGGTCAGCCATGTGGAATCTGGCTCCTTTAATCACTGCACTATGGGACTGGCCAAAATAGTGTTTTCTTGAGGTTCATCCATGCTGTTGTGTGGATTAGTAGTTTGTTCCTTCTTATTGCTGAGTATCATCTCATTATATGAATATGTCATAGCTCTCTGTCTCTGTCTGGTCAAATTAAATAATAGTAATAATAACAATAATAATGATAACAAATGGAATTAAATAAATAAATAACTCATTAAAAAAAAGAAATAGGATACAATTGATGAACTTTTTAGGTAGTACTTGGTTATGCTTAGCATGACTGACAACCAGGGTAAACAAAAATTATGGCGCTCAATCAAAGGCTTTCCTTGATAACATAATCCAGTTATGATCAGGGCTAGAAAGATTCTGAAAGAATTGTTTAAAAAGTTTATTTATTTATTTATTTCATGAAAGAGACAGAGATAAAGGTAGAAATTTAGGCACTCCCAACACAGTCTTCATATCATGGCATTCTCCCAATCTTAGCCAGAGGCGGATCATAGCTACAGGCATGCCTGGCATATTTAGGGAGGTCTCTGGACATAAAGCTGGGATTTACCATGTGGATCAGCCTCCTAAAGCATCCGTTTTAACACTGTGCCACCATACCATCCCTTGTCTAGGTTTTTCTTTGATTACCCAATCTGACTTGCCATGCACTCTGGCTAAATATTTATTTACTCTATTTTTTCTTGTGAATCTGTTGAAAATGACTAGACTTCAATAGATTGTCTCATTCTTCAGTCTATGAGACACTTGAAGAAGGGGACCATTTCTTACTCAGTTCTTTATCTCTAGTACCTAGCACCGACTAAGTGTTTAGTAAACAATGACTGAATGGCTGCTTGATTGAATGTCAAACAGAGGAAACAAAATGTAAGGAAATAATATTAGATTAGGAGTCAGAAGACCTGAGGTTTTCCTGACTGTGTATCTTTGGGGGAACCACATAGCCTATTTGGGCTACATAATACTCTTGGGTCAAAAGAAGGAGTTGGTATTATGTGAATTCTGCAGCATATTCTGTTATAGGTGCGCTAGAAGTGTCAGTGGGTTATGATGGAGACAATTAGGAAGGAATCTGGCAGTGAGCTGGGGACCATTTTTAAAATCTTCTCCCTTCAGAGGGCTACATTTAATTGTTGTTCATCTCTATAGCACACAATATGGTTTTTCAAAGTATGCATGCAGTACATGAAAATAAAATCAAGGATGTTACCATATACATCATTTTCATTGGAGAACGTTATATTCTTACATCTACTAAATATTTCTTTTCTGAACCCCTCCTACCTAATCTCTGCTACTCACTTTCTGTTACCTACATTTGTCCTCCCTACCATTATAGCTTTAGATCTTTTGATTTCTGCCATACACTGCAGATATTTAGTATATATTGAGTAGGGACATATAGTGTTTGTCTTTCATAGTCTGGCCTAATTCACTTAGCATTAAATCTTCTATATTCATCCACTGTATCAAATAATGGAGTCTCATTGTTCCTTGTGACTAAGTGATACTCCGTAGTGTACATATGCCACATTTTTTTCAATTCAATCATCAGTTCTTGGGCGCTTAAGTTGATTTCATGTCTTAGCAATTGTGAATAATACTGCAATAACCATGGGTGTACAAGTGTCTCTCTGAATATTTTCCCATCCTTAGGATAAATATGAAGGAATGGGATTATTGGGTCACATGGAAGTTATATTTGTCTATTTTGAGGAATCTCCATATTATTTTCCATATATGGATATCATTTACATTCACAACAGCAGTGTAGAAAGGTTATCTCAATACTTGCTATTGATCTGTTCAGGCTTTTTAGTT